TACTGTAAGGCAAAGAATGTGTGTGATTGCTTGTTATCTGCTAACAGCATTCAACCTCATGTATTACCAGAAGTATCAAAAGAAATTTATAACATTCATTTTGGGCTGATATGTTGGCTGATGGATTTTATTTGGACTGATGCTGTAAGTCTCAGTGTGTGAAAGTAAATTATTTTTTTCTGATTCATTTTTACCGAGTCAGGCAAGGATCGAATCATCCACATCTTTGTGCTTTATAAAACAGATTAGCGAATTTAAATTTCATTTCATTTCAATTTTGTGGATTATTCAGTTGAACTGTGATTGTTTCACTCTTAAACAGTGAAGAACTTGATAATGGTTTTGCAGATTTTATTGATAGGTGTAATTTGTCCATTTGTAAGATTAATATATTCAAAAACTAAAAAGAGGATTAGGAAGAATTCTACAGTCATCTTTTCGGGATAATAAAGATGAGTGAAGTGAAGTAAGCCTAGTTTACTATAGTTTAACCCTCACTTGAAATTGGTCATCTGCTTTTAAACCATCGAAGTACACACACACACACACACACACACACACACACACACACACACACACACACACACACACACACACACAAACACACACACACACACACACACACACACACACACACACACACACACACTCAGGTTGAGCTGGATGTGGTATTCATTAAAGCGTAATGCGCTGAATCAATCAAACGCTGCCTTACATTTCTTTTGAAAGCTGCCTATCCTAAAAGCCAAAGAAAACACGGCAGATGGGGTCATATTTTTAAAGGTTTCCACTGACATACCAGCAGCTATGGGAATCAGCTAAAACACAAACAACAAAATACCACTTTCATATTGAAATTTTTGCGAGAGCCAACATCTCTCAGACATCACGCTCGGCGGGGGCAGGAGCGTCCTCTCGTCCTCTTTTCACCGTTTACGTTCAGCTCTTTGGCAGATGCTTTAATCCGCAGCGGTTCGCATCCAAGCCGCACATGTTTATGAGCTCCGGCTTCACCTGGGAATCGAACCCATGACCTTGGTGTTTCTTTTTGATTCATTTCAATGATTAAACTTATGAACTACAATACAGTCAAGCACTTTAACTACAGCGAGTCTGATAATGCCACAGATGGAGACTGTTTTTTTGCCTGAATTATTATTTTTCAGGCGGCAGGGTGGCTCAGTGGTCAGCACTGTGGCCTCACAGCAAGAAGGTCTCTGGTTTGAGTCTCAGCTGGGTCAGTTGGTGTTTCTGTGTGGAGTTTGCATGTTCTCCCCGTGTTGGCGTGGGTTTCCTCCGGGTGCTCCGGTTACAGTCCAGACACATGCGCTATAGGGGAACTGATCAACTACACTGGCCGTAGTGTATGACTGTGTGTGTGTGTGTGTGTGTGTGTGTGTGTGTGTGTGTGTGTGTGTGTGTGTGTGTGTGAATGAGTGTGTATGGGGGCTTCCCAGTATTGGGTTGTGGCTGGAAGGGCATCCTCTGTGTAAAACATATGCTGGAACAGTTGCCGGTTCATTCCACTGTGGCAGCCCCTTATAAATACAGGAATAAGCAGAAGGAAAATGAATGAATGAGTTATTCAAAGTGAAAGGGACGAGCGGGGGTTGTAGCAGACGAAAGTGAACAGCAGAGAGATGGGGAGGGCAGTTGAGGAGGGGGATCGGTAAAATGAGATGCCGGACCCGGCATGTTCCACCACAAATTAAGCCCTGCATGTATCTGATGACAAATCCAAGTCAAACTGTCAAACAGGACACATGTTACTTAGGAGGCGTTTTAGATGATAAATCCACTAGAGGGCGCTGTGGATATTTGTGCGAACAAGAAAAACATCACTTAGAACACATTTCGCTGCACTCTCAGATGATAAATCCACTAGATGGCGCTGTCTACACTTTTGCAAATTGAACTGGTTACTTAGGAGGCATGTTGTTTAACATTTCAGAAGATAAATCCACTAGATGGCGCTGTCTACACTTTCACAAATCAGAAAATACATTATTTAGCGTATTAGGTGGCGTTTTATTGTACGTTTCAGATGATAAATCCACTAGAGGTCACTATGGACATTTTTGCGAACCAGAATTTAGGATATATTTCGTTGCACTTTCGGATAATAGATCCACTAGAGGGCGCAGTCTACACTTGCAAATTGGACATTTGTTACTTAGGAATCATTCTGTTGCACATTTCAGAAGATAAATCCACTGGAGGGCGTTGTTTACACTTTCGCAAATCAGAAATATGTCATTTAG